CTACTGTACAGCCAGCCTTGTCATAAAATTGCATCACCTCATCCTCCAGAACACCAGACACACAGAGCTCCTTTGAAGTCAAAGGAACTCCATATAAGAGCTGCCTCTAATCAGACATTTTTGCTAAATAAAAGAATACCAAAACAAGGGAAGCAACCCAGCATGCATTAAGAATAACAGCTTGGTGAAAGCCTTCCTGCGGCTTTGTCTTGACTGACATCCAAGGAGAGCCACCAAAAACATCACTCTATATAGGACAATTCCTCTCAAAACAAGGTCTGCCAGGGAACAGTTCCCTGTTTCTGCTGCTGTCCTCGGGCCACTCCATTTTGCAATGCAAACCTAAAGGCGACCAAAAAACAGGTGATGAGAGAATCTGCCTTTCTACTCCCACAAAGCCCAAAGTGAAGTTTCCTTGAGAAAGATGCATCTCGATTTTCCTTTTTTTCAGCATCACAAGTAAGCAACTATTTCTTTTGCAAATTGAATTTCAAAACAGTTCTGCATAGTTTCTCAAATTTTTCTTTGATTATCAAATACTGGTATTTTTTCAGAAATAATGCCATCTATTCAATTGCTTCCTCAATTCCATTTAAATAGAATTAACAGTAAGAAACATCAAGAACAGGTGATATGTTAAGAACTGCAATATTAATTTGTGGCTGGATTTTGTCAGTCAGTTTCTGATACATTAGTCTTTCACTTGAATGGTTTAATGGTTTAAAAATGTTCATCATTGGTAGAAGCACCACCAATGACAGCACTATCCTCAATTAGCTGCTCTGCTTATAGATGTTTTTGCACTTKCTTCCAGACCAGAGGGAACAGAGTTCACACAGAAATTAAAACTTGTAGATGCTCCATCCTTCTGAAAGACCCATTTCTTTATAGCACATTCTAAAGGAATAAAGAAATCTCCTTCTTAATATTGACTTTTCTTTCACATCTTTATCTAATTAAACACCAAAACAATTGAAATTCTCTCTCACAAYGAATCTTCTTGATTGTGCTCATTCTACACCTTGTATTATATCCTGCTATGTCATTGCTGAAGTTTGCTTCGTGTTACGTTCCTAAAGCAGAGAATATCTCATAGATTTGATTTGGGATATACCAGGTATGATATGGCAGCTGATAATAAACCACATATACAGCTTGTACAGTTTGGAATTGTTTAGATACAGAAATACAACTTGAAATTTCAATCTCAACCACTTCAAAGTGATTTTTATGAGAAATTTTAAAAAAGATAAAAGTTTTAAAGCAGTATTGAGATACATACTTCAATACAGAATCCTCTTGAGACAGAACAGCGGAGGTTCTATTTCAGCACAGTTTGTAGATAATGCCTCATCTGAGGTTTACAAGAAGCTAAAAACAAGTTGYACCTTGTCTTCACTGTCATTTTAACTCAAAACAACTCCCCCACTATAACGCATAACCCTCCTTGCAGCTTGCTTTTCCTGGTAAAGATACAATTCAGTAATGATGAAGTAACTTTCTTTTCATGCTAAGAAGTAATTAACAACAATATAGAAAGTGGTATTATCTTCAGATTTATCCTCTTGCTTCTTTGAAGAGCTATTTAGTGTACTCAATCTAGCTTGGACTTAGAAAGAAATGAGAAGTTGGGTAACAACTCTCATTAAATTTAATATTACAGATGACAGATACAGAAGTTTGAGAGGAAGAGAAAGTTCAGAATATGTTTCTTTTTCTTTTGGCTGACAAGACAGCAAACCATTTGATACATCCAATCAGAAGAGAACTACCGCTTTCACTCAAATTAATTTTCTTTCATTTCAGCTCTTTTCTCTGTGCTTTCCTGGCAGAATTGTTGTATAGATACACCCATGCGGCTCCAATGGTATCAGAAAGAAATTAAACCTGCATCTGGCTAATATCATCTTGTTTAATCCTGATGAACTAAAGCAACGGGGACCTGACCAACAGCTATATTTTCATGGATATTTTCATGATTAATTCAACTCTGCCTGTGTAGCTGCCTCTCAAGAGGAAATGTCCAGAACAGAAGTGAAGTTCACAGAATAGAGCGATCTTGTATTAAATTGCCTCTAGCGTACAAATTGGTAGCAAGGGATTTAGAAGGCCATAAAGAGACCCAAATCATCCTTCATGAATGATTAAAATAATCACTACAAATAGCAAGTTACAAATAATAAAGACTGCTATAAGAGCAAAAAAAGAGAGTTTTTAATCAAAATACTCACTAGATGCATATTTAAAATCCCAAATTACTTAATTCAGCTATATTCTACCCTGTCCAGCATGGCATTAATTCACCTATATTCTACCCTGTCCAGTGTGGCGAAAAGAATAACACAAGTCAGGATCAGATCTCCAACACATTACTTTTTAAAGCTCATATGATATGTTTTCCTTACTGTAGTCAGTATGTTCCAACACCAAATAAGGTGGACGACAGAGTACAAGGCAGGAATGGAAAGCAGGACATCCTGGATCATCTGATCCCTTCYTTTATTTCCTTCCTTTCCCTGTCCTCTCTACCTCGAGGCTACAGGCAAGGCATCTTACGTCCCTATTCACATATGAATCAAGCTTCATTATTTTAAAACTAGCAGTAATGCTCGCCCCCCAAATGTTCCTTCAAAAATCTCCCTATTCTGACTGTTAGAAAGTTTCCAGCATAAAATTACTGATGATCCTTGGATTTTATGGCACCACCRCCTTTGCTCAAACAATCCTTTGCATTCTATGATATTCAGGCCCCTTCATTCATTTACAGGCATCAGTCCTATCATCTCTCACTCAGTCTTTATTTTACTTAGCTAAATGCTCTGAGCTCTTTTCATTCCTTYCCTTGAGAGGTTTTCTCTCCCTGAGAAAGAACAGGGAAGCAGCCAAGACAATTTGCTAAGTGACAGGTTTGTATATGGTGCAAGCAGAGGAGCAGCTGGAGGTCCACAAAGCCAAAATTCCAAKCGAACGAGGAACTAAGCTTTAAACAGAAAAGAAAATAATATTGTAGTTTATAGATGCCTAGCATACTTCAAACACTTGAAAATGTATCTGCATATAAAAATAGACATACACTTCTGCCACTGACTTCAAGCACTCACCAACAGGAAATTCATAGCAGGAGAGAAAAAAAAGAAAGAAAAAAAAAAGAAAAGGAGAGTATCAAGCTTATAGATGAAGATAATCTTTCAGGTTATCATGAGACCATTTCCAAATTCTTATTCAACTGTTCTTGGCAATTCAGTGTTTCGCGATAAGGATTTAATATTTGTAGGAGGAATAGATATTTTCATGATTAATTCTGTCTATTCATGGGAAAGCAAGTTGCTGCATTTATTTTTTCATTCAGCTGTTAAAAAAAAATTAGCACGAAATTGTGACAAAAGCCAGGTAAGAAGTCTAATGTACGACCAAAAGTAAACGTCGAGGAGATAGGCGCACCTAGTAAATTAACATACAAAGCAGAAAATGAAGCAAGATAATTATTTTGTACAAATAAGATTTAAAAATCCCAGGAGAGCCTGTAAGCTTTCAACAAATAATATCAAACATGTATAAGAGATTTAAAATTAACGACATTCTTTAAGAGAGAAGTGCTGAAGGAATACTATGCCTAATATAGTGGYTGGATGGTGATTAATTTTAGGTACCAGATTAAACAAGTGATAGTTGTTTACAAGTTTATTCTATGAATTAGACTAATACGAAATAGGAATCCATGAAAACTAGATCAAAGAATTTRCAGCTACCCTGACAAAAGTCTACTGGAATGTGCTATATAAACAAATATAAAAATAACATTTTCCCCCAATGGTCCAGAACAAAGACTGCATAATATTCATATCAAAATTCTCAGATACAGTCAGCAATCCCTGCCTAAAGGCAAGTAAATCTGCAGGTAAAGAGCTCACCTTCATTTAATCGTGAAATCAGCYTGCTAGATATGCCAGGGCTGGAGTTGCCAGATACTATTTTCAGAGCTATTGTACTGAAGTGGTTATATAAGAATGGAGTTTATCTGAAAAAACAGACAGCAACAACCAGCGTGGAGCACTGCCTGAGACTCACACATCTCAGCATACCTGTGTTCATGGCAAAGTGACAGACGAGCACCTGGATGGGCCCAGGTGATGCATCTAAGGAAGAGAAACAATACAGCCATGCAGGGAGGGAATCCCTTCTCCTAGTACACACCTGCTTTTCTATCCTCAWTTCCTAGGGCCAGCCCACCACCTCAATCTACAAATTCAGCTGCAAGCACAGGCCTACCAAGCTCAAAAAAACCCCTTTKGTAACAGTTTGTTACACCTTGGTGCTGAGGGTCTGACTGACAAAACTCAACCTACCTTGCTCACCCAGATCCACATACTCAACATGAAGCTCAATAAGAACCCTATTTCACACATATGTAAAGATTCAAGTCCCCCGCTTCCCCCTTCCCCAAAGCATAGCAATGATTAGCCTCAGCCTCCCTCCTTAACACTCTTTAAGGACAATGTTTTTATTATAYGCTCAGAAGCACCTGCTACAAATTGAGCTACCTAGCATTATCAGTTAATTACCCAAGTTTACTGACAGTGTCATTTTGTTTGAAGTAAACAAYAACTTAAGTGATTTTCAGCATAACTTCCCCCCACACACACCTATTTACAACATGCACTGTTGGAAAGGTAAAAAACAACGTTTGTTATTGTAATAATATAAAAGTTTTCATTTAACAGGTACCATTAACTTTGATATGGTTATTTTATATATATATATATATACACACACACAAATTATAAGCATATATGAACGTACGCAATGTCTATGGCTATTCCAAACAGCACAGAAGTTCATCTTACAAGAAGCTGCACGAGTTTCCACACCTTGCAGCCTGTTTACCGGTGACGGCCCTCACGCGGTGCCGGGGGGGGGGAGGGAGGGGGCTCCCGCCGCTTCAGGGACCCTCCCCGCCGCCCCTGCCCGCCACCTCTGCCCCCCGCCGCCCCAACACTCACTCCGCCGAGCTGGTGCCGTTGACAGCGGAGCCATCCGGTGCGGGATTCAGCTGGATAGGCCCCGGCTTCTTCTTGGGCATCTTTGAGCCCCGGGTGTCGCCGAGCACAGCCGCTGCCCCCGCTTCGGCACCGCCACTTCCTCCGGCGGGGCAAAGTTAGCGGCTGCCGCTCCACCACCCGCCGCGGGCTCGGAACAGCCTGCGGGCCGCCTGGCCCTGCCACGCCGACCCTATCAGCCGACCCCGGCCTCCGCAGCAGAGCGGAGCGRCGCCGGGCTGAGCCGAACCGGGCTGAGCCTCCTCCCAGCGGCTCCCGACGGCAAAAATTGCCCGGGCTCGGAGTGTGCCCGTCCTTGCCTATGCGCACGCGCTGGCCGCGCGGGCCCGCCCAGCGCGCAGGCGCCCGCCGCCGCGCCTGCGCAGAGCGGCGCTGAAGCCGCGCTGAAGCTCTGCCCTCAAGGCRCTTTGCCCTCACTTGCCGGTGCCGCGAGGAACAGTCGGGGGCCTGTTCCATCGTTAAAATTATTTTCTTAATCCATTTTTTATAYTATTTTTATTTCAGACATGTGCGGCAGCTTCAGGTCGCTGCATCGCTGATTAATGCATTCCCTGCTTTTTTTTTTTTTTTAAATGGAAGTTTTACCGGGAGCAGGTGCCCAACAATTCCTCTAAATCGGCTCTTCCCGGTTTCTTCGCGGAAGGGGCCCCGCCGCTCGAATCGCGGTTTACGGGGCCCTTYGCTTCCCTCCGTCCCTGCCATCGTTAGTGCGGAAACGAGTGCGTTTATAATTAAAACGTAAACCTCCGCGGGAGTATAACGGCTGCTAAATTTTTCCCACAGTGAAAGCCTGMAGTAAAAATGAAAACAGGATTACAGTTGGAGAACGCTTAATTATAAATTGTAAAATGAGTTTGGAAATGAATTTTTTTWAAAAAAGTTTTTGTTACAACACAGCATTCATTACTGGAAATGGCTGCACTTGGGTATCATTTGAATGAAAGGTAATTAGTCCTTAGTCATAGGGAGAGTCAATCCCGCTAGATAATTTTAACATYGAAAATCCAGGTGATTTTCCTGCATATTCCTGCAATAGTGGCTTTAAATGTGTGTCCCTTCCTATGAAGTTCTGCCTTTCCTGGCTATTTGATCCTGAGGTTCTCTGGTGCTTTGTCAGTATGTGACAAAGATAGAACCAAGAGAATGTTATTTTCCAAGTAGCTCTCTACCATGTATTGGCATAGAAAAACAAAATCCTAGGGCTGAGAAATGTGGATCACATAAATCACTTCAGCTGACAGTAAAAGTGCAGATTAAATTTCATAACAGAACTTATTTTTTAAGTAGTTTGTATGAAAAATTATTCTGAATGCTGTTTTTCAATTTTCTGTGATTTGTAAATATAAAATAAGCATCRTATTTTCAGTCAAGCCTTTTCAGTCAATGCTTTCATAGAAACTGAAATTTATCATAAAAAAATACCCTATATGTTATGCGGAGAGCTCTGTTATTCCTAACATCTCACTCGTTTATAAAGTAAAAATATTATATACATGTATTTTTTTTTTCCACAGCTCTGCCCTGCCTACACACTCACCTCCATTAAATGCTAGGTGACGTTAAGAGACAGCTCCCTCCTGCGGCGAACTTCACACTCGCACTGCAAACAGCACTGCACTTCTGGAGTCCTTTCAACCTACAAGAAAACAAAGGTATTTTGAATTGTCTTGATATAGAAATATAATCATGTGTGTATGGATTGATGCCACTTCAGGAGCTATTTCAAGGTAACTGCTGCTGCCATCGCCTAGTTCCTCAGGCACTCTGAAACCCTTGAACTTCATGGGGCACCAAGTCTKCAAGGGAGCCGAGTGGCCTATGGGCTTTCCTGAACACGTTGTGAGAAACTTTGTGGTTTTTGTTATTGTTTGGTTGGTTTGTTTGTAAWACTGAACTATGTAGGCATGCTATTATTTCTTAAATGATCTACTTTCTTTTGTATGATGATATATTTGAAATATTTCAAATGAGCATTGTGATTTGGTTGGAATTTACCTAAACCCAATAAATTTAACTTCAGTATATTTACCACTGAAAATTACACGTTTCCCTGCCCAAAACAAAGCAAATGTAGAAGTCATCCATTTTACCAATTTTCTCTGCCCTATGTTAAGTGAAATGAGACAAAGTATTAATTTTCTGCATTTTTTCTCATAAAATAACATTATTAAATACAGAAGCATGTAAGTAATACATCTGTTTCACCTAAACTAGAAACCAAAAGTATTTTCTAGAATACAGGCAAGCTATGGCTTTTATTTTTAAGACTTATTATTTTATCAGCATGTGGCTGGTTATTTATTTCCTGAGAAAAAAACAATAATCAATGTCTGCTGGCAGATGTTTTCTATTTAATTAGGAACATAGGAGTGGAAAGAACCACCTAGGTCTTCAGGCCCAGTCTTTGATTAAACATTCTTAAAAAATATTGATTAATCAAAGTTGCATAAATATGATAGGTTTTGTAAGACTGTACTCCTCTGCAGGGATTATATGTAATCTTCTCCTTTATTTTTTTTTTTCTTTCTGTTCATAAAGACAGCAGTGAATGGAAGCATTGCCATAGAAAATCTGTTTATTTWAAAAAAATGTCCCTTTCAAACTTTTTTCCCATATCCACTATCCCCCCATCCTGGCTAGGACAAAGCACATGTCACAAGACGGTCAGATCTCTGCTCCTGCAGACTGGCTGACCTGTGGGTATGGAGACTGCAAAACAGGAGGGGAAAAGGCTGCAATCTCCCTGTCTTTGCTCTGCAACAGTTCAGCTGCCTATTTTTTTTTCTACCCACCAGTTAATTTTCAGAAAGCACAAAGGAATTTCAGGGAAATTTGAGAACTTTGTATCTCTGCTAAGTTCRGTTGACATTCAGTTGACATAAGTACTTATAAAAAATAAAAAGAGGTAAAAACAAGGCAAACAGTTCTGAATTGGTTAGATACTTAGGCAACAAACCAAATGTGTGATTCTTTTGTTTATAACAATTATCTTTTAATATAGTGACTACTATTGYCAATGTAAAGAACCTCCTGTACTATTAGACACTTGATACTGTTAAAATTATAATTTTAACTAAAGACCAGTACCCTTTCATAACAGGATGAAGAAATGAAATTATCAGGAGTATTATATCAAGCTTACAGAGAAATAAAGGAAAATCATTTCCCTCGGTGTATTAATAACAGACATTCATTCCTTTTCCTTGAATATGGACTATTAACAGTTAAAACCAGAAGCATTTACATGGACCGACCTGCAAAATATTTAAATAATATTCTTCAGCTGTGGCAATCTGGTATTTCACCAGCTGAAAACTGGATTTGTGACTCTGACAAAACCACCAGCACCGACAGAGACCACAGCGTGAAGCCTCCCTCCTGTTGTTTCTGCAGACTGCAGCCAAAGGCTGCATAAAAGGATTATTTTATGMACCCAGCTGCCAAATCTCATTGCGCTTGGTACTGTTTCTTAAAGCCTGGACAACAACAAGCAGTTTAGTTTTAATTTCCAGAAGAAAACCACCATGTTTGTTTAGAGAAAGGCTTTGAAACAGCTACTAGCTCTGATAGCACTTCACCACAGAGGTACAACAGTGAGAAGAGCTACTCATGCCGTATATTAAACCCCATTTCAGGGCTGATCCGTCACTTTTACCCGAGCTAGCCTAATTAAGAGGCCTCAAATTCCCCGGACGGCGGTTACTCTAGCCTCCCCTCAGCTTTTGGCGCCAAAAGCTCTGAGGCGGCGCCGCGTGGCCCAGGCCGCGCAGGCGCAGAGCGGCACAGGCCGAGAGCTCGCGAGAGGGGCGGCCCTGGCGGCGCTTCCTCGGCGCGGAGCGGCCGTGCYGCCCTTTGTCTCCCAGCCCGCTCCGAGCAAGGGCGTGCGGAGCCGTCTGGCTGCTGCTGGAAGGGAGACGAGACCCCAGGGCCGCCCCCAGCGGTCCAGGCAGTGGGGCCGCGGCGGCTTCGCGGGCTCTTTTGTCACCAAATCCCATCGGGAGGCAATTTTCCCCTCGGAAAAACGGGCTCTTCCCGGAGCCGCCTGTTTGCGGGGACCCCGGTGGCGCCAAAGTCTCTGGAATTGGCTGCGCGGAAGGACAGGGAGAAGGGAATCCTGCTCCAGGCTTAGCGTCTAAGTTGGTAAGCTGTGAAACTGGGGGGTTATTTCGTCTCCCCCGGCCCTGTAATCTTTGTTTTTCAAGGACTTTATGAAAAAATAGCTGTCTTAGTAACTGGGTTAGTTGGAAATCTGTAGTTAGAAAACTTTTTTTTTTTTTTATTTTTAATATAAATAATCACCTGTGATCCATTCCTGCCCCTCCCAGATAGCTTGGATGAGTCTGGATGAGTTGAGACATGCAAGACGCCTTTATCTGACCTGGTGAGGTTGGGTTGTGTCATCCTTAAGCGTGGTATTTGTTATCTAAGTTTTGGGGTTTTTTTAATTTTGTTTTTAGTATTTTTAATTTTGTTTTTAGTATTTTTTAGGAAAAGGTGGGACACAGGCATGTTGTAGTACATCAATATGTAACTAATACTTAGCTTCCCGAGGCTTCTTTTCAAATTCTTCTTAATTTTTTTTTTTTTTTAATTTCCTGCAGGAAAGGAGGAAAAAAAAAGTGATCTGCAGCAATGATAGATCCTCTGGAGAACAACTTGTTTGATCTTCCTGATTATGAGAATACGGAMGATGAAAGATTTCCACCTCTTCCACCTCCTACCTCTCCAGGAAAAGATGATACTGAATGGGCTGTAGCTAATGGAGGTGAGTACCTGGGACTCTTGAAGAACCATTTTTGCAGTGTAGAAATCTTAGCATTGGGTGTTGTATGTTGTTACCCTGAATTTCTTATCTAGAATTGTGTGTGTTGTTCATACAAAGGTAACTTGTCTATATAGCCTTAYATAAAAATAGCCTCATAGATAAGAAAGCACTTAGTAAATTTAAAGTAGTACATGATTCCACACATTCAAACTTGTGGAAAAAGTTTGGTTTTAATTCCATTGAAACATCTGCAGCAYAAATGAATCTTTTAATAATTGCAACTCTTGTACCAAAACATCTGTAAAGATAATAATACAGCGGTGAGGTATAGTTACCCTTTATGACTTATGTCGAGTGGCAAAAAGGTAGGAGTGCCGAGTGTGGTCGTCTGGGGAGATGATGTTTTTTTTCTGTAGGATATGTGATTTGGGGAAAAATCCAAGGCATTTGGGACAAATGAAATTTTGAAAGATCTTACAGCTACCCAGTATAGTGAACTGGCAAATAGAAGGCAGAAAGATGTATTGAAAGCATTGTTTATAGGCAAATATGAATTAGACCTGTTACATATGTATTTTTCTTGTTCTTTGCTTTGTCTGTTTACTAGAAAATAATGTTTGGAATAGACTTAATCCCTTGATACATGAAAAGGAAATACCTAGCTTCCAGCTTTCTGATGTTTAAAGGAGCAAATGTAAAAGAAAAAGTCAGTATGTCAACTAATTTCTAGTTCTTAGCTGAGGTAGGCAGTTGTGCCTTTTTTGTTAAAAGTCAAAAGTATACATTGAGCCTTAAAAAAAAAAAAAAAAAAAAACCATTTTTTTTAAAAGAGATATGGACATGTTGGTTGTGCTCATATCATCCCCTTTTCTATTTTTGAAGGTGATGGTGAAGTTTAAAATTTTAAGTTTTGGGAAATGCATGTTATTACTTGAGGTTTTTAACTCTTAGAACTAGCAGCAGCCACTCGRAATATATTTCTGATCAGGAATATGCAAGTAGTAAACTAGGGTCTTTGCAAAGAGGGTCCTTGTCCTTTTTTTGCTAGAAAACTTGATTCTTAATGTATGTTAGAGACCTGTTTATTTCTAGACTGTATTGTGGGGGAAGTAGAAATGTGCAAGTATTTATTGGAAGTAATAAGTAAAGCTGAATGCTTATGATCATTGTCTTTGAAGTAAGGTAGAAACTTAAAAGTTTATGTTGTGTAATGCTAGTTATTGTAACTTGCATATACTTAACAGTATATGTTATTTCTTTTATAGAACCAGATGATAACCAGCAGTCCCAAACGAAGGACAAGGATTCTTCTGCGCCTGTACGGAGAGCAGTTAGAAGACCAATACCCAAGCTAGATGCCCAAAGGTTGTGTGGGTGTATGTGTGTTGTTTATTTTTAACAGATTATTTCTTTCTGGTATATATTTGGTATCTTCCAGCTGTGTGATSTTTATTTTGGCTCAGACATTTTACTGTGGATTTATTATTACTTAACTGAAGTGTGTTTCAAAGTAAAACCTGAATGTAATAGTCTGAAGTGCTATGTAAGTCAGTTGCACTTGATTTCTGTACAAACTGGATAAACTCTATTTGTGAGAGTTTAGTATTTCCCTTGCTCTTTCCACTAAAACTGGGGAAAATTGTCTGTAAGAAATAGAAAGAATCTGACCTTATGCTTTCTTTTGTGTTAAAATATTCCGAGGAAATTAATTTTTGATGCCACAGCTGGTTGTCTTGGGTTCGTCCTAGTTGCTTCTACTTGGTCAGTGCAGATACGTGGCAAAATATGTGTACTGGCCTTCCCATTTTATCCTGTGTAGTCAAAAAGATGCTTTAACAGGTACTGTTTGTATGGTGACTTTCCAGAAAGAGTCTCATTCTTTTTTGCAGTCATATTTCCTCTGGTGTACTCTTGTGTAGTTGGTTTTGTTTTATGGCTTTTAAACCCATACCTCTTTCAAGCAAAACTTTGCAGAAAGTTTTAGATGAGAAAGGAGGAGTTTGTTTCAAAAAAGTAGGTGTGAGTCTCAAGTAACTTGGACTTTTTCATACTAACAGGTTGATTTCTGAAAGAGGACTTCCTGCCTTAAGACACATGTTTGACAACACAAAATTCAAGGGTAAGGGGCACGAGGTGAGAAACACTGAATTTCTATTTTGTTTTGTGGGGAATTAGCTTAGATTGACGAGTGGATTGCTGTCTTGACACTAAGCTCTGGTTAGACAAGCCATGTGCAGCCTTCTAGCGTCATTGGAACGTATCCTGCTGAGTTTTGAAGTTACAAGGAAAAAAATGACTCTTGGAAACAATATTTTGATCGTATTTTCCTGTTCTTCAGAACGGGCATAGCATGTCTGTGACTTGTCCATAGAAAGATGCTTTTGAAAGTCTTAGGAAATGCTTTTTCCTCTTTTGGCTATTGTGACACCTGAATCTCAAAGCTTCTAATACCAAATTGCAAAATAAAGAGAAAGCAGCAGTTTCTCAAAAAACTGTCTCCACATTATTATTTTTTCTACAAGAACTTTTGCAAAGAAACCTGTGCCTTTAGTTTACAAAGAAAATTACCGTATAAATTCTCTGGGTAACAGGAGGTGGAAAGAAAGGAGGCAAAACTACTGATATAAGTGGGAATATTCATTGGATAAAGTTATTTAGAGGTGCATTTTCTGTACTTTTTAAACTTTAAAACATGGTATCATGATTACTTTTTTCCARTCTTGATTTGGGTATAGATTGCTTAAGGAGCAACTTCCCAGAAGCCTATCTAATCTTTTACAGTATGTAAATGCCTTTTCTAAATATTGATTGCTGTTTTTTCTCACAGCTTGAAGCTATACTTACAAACTTGATTGTGGGAGGATAGGTGCTGGAACATTTATTTTACCTAGATTTTTCAAGAGACTTTCCAACTACAAAAGTTGAATATTTTACAAAATATTATTGGCACATTCCCTTCTGCAGTCTATTGACTTTTCCCTCTGGCTCTACTGATTAAACTTCTAACAGCTGGGTATCTTGTTTTTACCTTATAGGCAGAGGACCTGAAGACGCTTATGCGACATATGGAACATTGGGCTCATAGATTATATCCAAAATTGCAGTTTGATGATTTTATTGACAGAGTAGAGTCTTTGGGAAACAAAAAGGAAGTTCAGGTACATGCTGTTCTTACATTTCTCTTCATGCAGTACTATAGGGGTAGGTTTATGAGTGTAGTTATGCAATAAAGAGAGACTTAAGTTGTGCTTAATATTTAGGATTATAACTTGATTTGATTTAAATTCATTTCTTTCCCTTAAAGAAGTAATTCAGTATTTGAAAGTTCTTATCACATTAATTATTAAATCTGCACTTGAAAAAAATCTGCTATGACTTAACAAAAGACATCTTTAGTACAGAAATTTTATGCAAGAGTGCGGCTTCCTCTGGCTAGGTGATAGATGAAGTGTCAGGAAAACAACCAGCCCACAGCTTTAAAAGTTGCGGAAGAAAACAAACATGTAGGGAAAGGGAATTCTATTTCATAGAGGAAAAAAAAGGATAAAGAAAAATGGACAGTATTAAAAAACATATCAACAGAAAGACAAATGGTTTTGTCACAGATGAAATATTAGTATTATTTCTTTTCATTTTAAGACTTGTCTAAAGCGGATTAGACTTGATCTTCCTATTTTGCATGAAGACTACAAAAATAATGAAGGTATGCTGTCTGTGGTGAATACTTGAACCATCTCTCCCTTTCCTTGCTTTCCCACTGAGTTTAACCATCAGGATTCATTTTTCTGGTGTAGAAGCAATTAAACTGGCTCTCCATTTTCAAACCAGGCCTCTGTGAAAGACTTAAAATTACATAACTAAAATGATAATGAAATGAAAATACTTCATATATGTTTATAACTGAGTGGTAGAGGAAATTGGTATTAAAATCGGCATTGTTAGCAGTGTTCTTTCCATAAATCCCACACTGCTATTRTCAAGTGAACATATTTTTATTTTACTCTGACATGAGCATGCAGTCTGGAGAGCTCTTGGTCATTATCAACGAAATAGAAGATTTCAGGCAGCTTCTACAGTGCAGTCAGGATGCAGTATCCTTTATAGGAAAAGTACTTGGAGTTTTTATACAAGCAGCACTATGTGTCTTGTCATGCTTGGCATGTAGCTGCTGCTGCTTCTTTCAAAATTCAGGCACTTAAATAGATAATTCAAGACTTTCTTCTAATCAGATGACATTTTCAGATGGATCAGAAAAGAAGTTCATTTATAAAAAGCAGAATTCACTTAAAGGGTAGTATGAATGAAATGTCAGAATATCATGGTCTTTTCTGCGGTCCTTTGCAAGTATTTACCCTTCTATTGTAGTTTCCTTCTTGAAACAAAAGGATCTATGTTCTCTGGTTTGCCTTCATTTGAGCTTTTTGAACACCATTCAGGTAAATCAGTGTTTGCAGAACTTGTTGCAGTGACAAGTGTTCTCGGTGCTAAAGCTTTGCTGTATCTATGGGGAAGATCCTAAGGCAATTGGTAAAATGTGGCTGTCTTTGCTACTGGCTGCATTTGAGAGAAGTTTAATGCTGCTGTAAGAAGCCACAAATAGTAAAATAAGTGGTTCCTGCCGACAGAGTCTGTAGAGTTATCAGATTTTTCTGTGCGATGGTTCCATACATTTGTATTTAAATACTGCTGATAATGTTCTTGAACAGTTAGCCAGTGTACTGCTACAACTGGTCAGTCTTCAGTTGTTAAGATATCTACCCCAGTTTTTCAACTTTGCAATAAAAATGCAACCTAGAAATAGAAGCTAGGGTATGGTATTTAAACACTTGGTGTTCAGCTACATGAAATGGCTATTTCATGTCTGTGTTAGTACTCACCTTGTGATTCCCAGAGCTAGTCCATGACCTTTCAAAGGACATTGTGATACTAGCATGGTTAGGAAGAAAAATATGTGGCCTTATAGTAAGGACTGTACATCTGAATATACTGGATTTTGACCTTCAGACACAGCTTGTGGGTGAAAAGACTGCTGTGCAGTCAGAAACTACTTGCTGCTGTGTGTTTTGGTTCTCTGATAAGCACTCAAATTATATCACTCTGTGTATGTTATATACACCTCGATGAAGATTTGCCAGCTAGCTGAAAATGAARTCACAGGCTCATCTTCAGATATTAATACAACTTTAAAATGCAGCATGTGGTCAGAAATGTCTTTAAAGTGTAATTGTTGGGTATTTAGCGATGTATTTCTTCTGGTTCAAAAAGTTGATTTCTGCTCTCTTCACCSCCACCGTTTGCAATTCATTTCAAATCAGATGGTGGAGGGGAAAGCAATGGGCTGGATGCAGCGACTGACGACCTACCTGCTGGTCCCGCAGATGTAGGAGAACTGGAGTCTCCCTCTAGTACAGCCCTCACAGAAGAGCAACAAGAGCGAATCAGAAAGAACAAGCAACTGGCCTTGGAACGGAGACAAGCAAAGTTGCGGTGTAGCAGCCAGTCTCAACAAAGTGGTAAACTATTTTCTAACTTCTGTGTTGATACAACACTGATAATCTGAAGTTTCTGCCTTATTAATTAAGAGAAAAGCTCCGTTTGAAACACAAGGTTTGAAAGCCAGTGTACGTATTCTTATAGTTGAAAGCTGCAGGCTCAAAATCTGTTAGCATACTGAGTTGTAGAAAAGCTAGGTAAACTAGAGCGAGAACTGTAGTGACGGGATAACTTTCTCTTCCCTTGAGGGCTAGAATTGTCACATCTCCCCTTTTGACTGTTACCTGCCCTATGACAAATGAACCATTTCACCTTGTCTAAATAAGGGATAAACATCTATTGTTGGTCCTCCAGCTATTGCTGTACAGTTCAAAAACATCGGCAGTTCCTAAGAGTAGAATATTAAAGGCTTGCAGAATTTTCTCATCCCATTTAAAGGAAAGAGTAGTACTTACTCTTTTAGTAATTAGCAAGATGTGAATCTCCCAAATTTAAACTGTTTCTGTAGTTGGACTCTTCCAAAACTTAAGAGTTTCTTTTTGCCCTAGTTGTCCTGCTACTTTGTGATAGCTTTCTTGTTGCTGGAATGAAACCTGCTAGCCATTTCTGAAGTTGGCTGTCTTTAAGGTTGTGATTCTGGAGGAAAACTGGCTGGTACACACTGCAATAATATCTTTCTCACCACAGACAATATATTTTTTTTCTTAGAACACTCTGCTGATTACCGAGAAGAAGGGTTTAATACCATGAATGCTGAGAATCTGGATGACCTTATAGAGGACCCTGAAGTTATTGCAACCAAGTTTGCTGTTGCAGATGCTGAGGACAGAGATACAGAATTGGAATCTACCAGTGAAAAGCAAAAACCTTTCCCCGTACTTTGAAGGACTTTCTTAACACAGAGATTCTCAACACTGTATCACTGTACGCAACTGTCACCAGCTATTTCCAATCTGACTCTGCAAGCTGCAGGGAAATCTTAATCCTGATGTCTGTACAGTGGGACAGAACTTGTTTTTCTTGAAAATGAGTAGCTCTGTACATTGGCAAATGGAATAGAAATACGTCAGACACGCGAGAGCTTTAGCAGTGCTGGACTTGGGGCAGCGTCGCTCATGGAAGGTTTTTTGATCTGCTTTGAATCTTTTTCTACTGCTGTGAAAATGACTTAGCTGTGCCATTGACAGATCAGATTTATATTAAAGGGTTTTAAAGAGGGGATGGTGTTATGTATTGAAGCAGATGTCCTGCATTTTGTAATTCACCTACCAAATAAATAACAGTATTTTGTTCATATAAAATGGAAGTTACTAAATTTCAGAAATCAAAACTGAAAATAATGCGTAAGGTGCTTAACCGAAAAACATGGCATCATGAAGCAACTCAAACCTCCCAGCTAGGTACATCTCCTTACACAAACATACTAAGGGAATTAGTTATCATTTTTACTTCAGCTGGTCTTGCTCTCTYTTGAAATTCTGCTAATCTTCTCTTTGCAGTATCATTTTCCTTGCTACATCACCGAACCAGCCCTATGACCATTTTCCTTTTTGTTGAAGGAAGAAAATACTCCACGCTATTGCTATAATGTGCAAAGCAATTGCAAAGAYCTAAGCCAGCCCTCTACAGCACCCTCTGGCTGCCTCTTGTTTGTGAAAAAACGGGATCTTACATCTAGGAGGTACAAGGAATGTACAAGGTACATCTAGGAGGACAAGACTCGCAGAGCAGACAAAATAACTTAATTTCATTAGGAGGTAACCTCTGGGTAAGGAGGGAGGTGGAGGGTACTGCATTCTGGATTAGAGGAAAGGTTTTAGTTGAGTTAAGAACAGCTGTAGCAAGGACTAAGTGAGAAAAGATTTTAAGAATTTAATTTAGGGAGACTATTGGGAGGTAATTGCTTAAATCARCTTTTTTTGAATGATGTTTAAAATGATTCACCACACTAGCTTTAGTTTGGAAGATGAGCTTTATCATGTATAAATTCTTTTTAAAAGTTAGGTTTCATAATCAAAAATAGTTTTTTAAAAATAGATATTTAGTTTCRCATTAAAATGACTCGTGAAGATTTAAATACACTGCTTTTTTAAAAAATTAAAATCTTACAAAGTGAGTATGAACAAGATTGATAAAAGGCAGATACTGCTAGGAGACAGTTCAAGTTCTAATGTCAGCTGAAACGTCCAATAGAGCTAAATCCCTAATCTCTTCCAGCAGCTGGTATAAACTTGCTCCCTTTGTCTGGCAATACTCCCGATACTCTTCCTCAATTGCCTCCACTCCTGTTTTTTCTTGAGGATGCTGCGCTTCCTCTGCAGCCTTGCTCACTTCTTTTACTAATTCTGGTTTTGCCACGTTAGAAATCTTCTGGGAAACTTCTGTGTCTGAAGTCTCATATGGTGCAATCCTGATTATTTCAAGTTTGATCGTGTCAGCATGGCAGCGGGAAGAATGCACAAGTATTTTCACCTTAAAAGCAATATACAAATGTTATTTCTCATCATGCTATTTGAAGGAAGTAAAGGGAAATTAAATACTCACTGTAATGTGATCAAATAGACTTAATGTAATGGAGCCTCCAGAAGTTGTAGTGGAAGTAATTTTGTTCTGAAAGTGAAGAAGGGACCCAGGCTTCCACTCACAGTTGCTATCACCTTGACAGGAGATGACTAAACCTTCTTTGTTTTTCATATATGCAGCAGCTTTAATGCCGTATCTACAAGAAGCCAGAGAGAGGCTGTTAAAAGAGTTTTCACCCTTCTCAGTTCTACTAATTTGGAAACCAAAGGAAAGCTCTGAAAAAAAAAATCTTGCTAATAAATATTCTAGTCATTCTTCTGCTTTAATTGCTGCTTGAGCAAAAAGGTGCTAGAGCATTTAAAATATACACCTAATCTAATTGCAGAGGATCAGAGAGCGTTTCACTGTTAGGAAATGAATACTTTCTGGACAGAGTAGTCTTTCAGTGCCCTCATGAGAGCTCTTTTTTTTCCCCAAAGTCAATTCATAGAAAAGCGCTGTCTGGGCTCTATGACCAAAAATATAAACGCAGTCCTCACRCACCACCCAGCTATCTTATAAATGTTTCCTTCCTAACGGACCAGAAGCAGCCTCACAGCACTTCCACAACACGGCTTATTTTTAAATTCACTCCAAGCTCCGATCAACCTACCGTGGTACGAACACCAGGACACCATTGGTGCGGATGGAGTAAATGACGCCGTCCGCGAGGCAGCGCTCCTCCGGGTCCGCGCTCCCGTCACGGAAGTACCTGCACTGGAAAAGTTCCGTGGACTGCTTCTGAGCGTGCTGGGCTGCCTGAAATATCCCCAAAAAGACAACAAAACCAGTGAGAATTCTAAAAACCTTGTTTTCCTTTGATCTTTATATTTCTTTCTTCCATGACTGTACTCTTCTCTAGGCCTCCTAAAAAAATTATATCCAAATTGCAATCCTAGTTGTAGTACAGGTGAAGTGTGCAGGTACTATTGGAAGAAAAGAAATATTTAAGAGAGAAAACAACCGAATAATACAATAAGTATTTTTAATTATTTTTCTGATAAATTGCACAATTTTCTCATCAAGTTGCATACAACTTCCCAATTTTTTGTCTTTTCCCATGAGACCAAATGGACAACTTTCTCTGATATCCTTTTGTTGTTATTTAACATTAAAATGCTGTGAGACTATGTCAGTGTAGCACCCAAAAGCTGTGGTCAGGACTGGTTCCCGTTGCAGTGGACGGGATGCAAGCATGCAAGGACAGGCACACTGACCATCTTACCCTGTTTCTGTTATTAATGTGCCTACATAGCTCCTCAAGATCCTTATTGCCRAATGCATTATCCTTAACATCTCCTTTACTTTCCTTTGAGGTGGCTGCCATCAGCAGTCTGTGGACAACAATATCAGCGTATCTTCTAATCGGAGAAGTAAAATGTGTGTATTTATCCAAGGCAAGTCCTACAAATAAAAAAATGAAGCTGTGGTAAGAAAAAGCTGTCACAAACTCACTAGCAGTTTAGAAATAATACGAACAGCATTAAAAATAGCAAGTGACAGCATACCATAATGATGAAACTCTCCTTCAGGGCAAGAACCAGTTGAGAAGTACAGTGCATTAGACATGGCATGAGTGGCCATAGATCGCAAAAGTTTATTTACAATTGGATCCTGGGGGTCATCTGCTTTAGCCAGGGACTCRGCCAATGTTTTGTTAGACCTGTCCAAAAAAATATATATATATGTGTGTGTGTATGTGTATATATATATATATATACACACTACAGTTATGAAAATAAAGTGCCAAGAAGGCTATTACACAGCTTAACCATTACAGAGTAAAAAAACCTTATCAAATTACTTGMTATGTCCAAAATTATTCCGGTATTCACATTTTCAGCATTTCTGTTTAGGACATCATCTCCCACTTACTGAAAGCTAGTGGTAAAAAATTTAAGAATTGCCATGTAGTGTCTATTAACATTGATAGACAGAATTGTAATGGTTTGCAACAATACACCCAAGCAGTTAATTGTTTAATTAAAGCACTTAAGGTAAGCAGTAAAGATACCGTGTGTCTACTGAGAAACCTTTGGCACTGGCACATTGGCGAAGTTCAGAAAAAAACTCCTCTCGTGGTGGAGGGTGTTGACGCAGCAAAGCTTCCTGAGGGAATTTTTCTGCAATCTTTTTTGCCACCCAGTGGTTGGCGAGAATCATACATTCTGCCACAGTCTCGTGTACTTCCAGTGGCTGCTTGGGGATGAGATCCTGGATATTTTTTTTATCATCCAGCTGCACTCTGATTTCTACCCCTTCCAGCTCCAGAGCACCACAGCTGTCCCGCTTAGCCCTAACACGTCGTGCTATGTCAGTCAATTTTGATATTGCCCAGACCAGCTCTGTCAACTTCTTTTTTCTAGTTCTTTCATCCAAGTCCTTCAGTTCCACGATATCAGCAACAACGCTTGTGTCTCCATCTAATAATCCTTGTGCTGCTTCGTAGACCAGCTTGTATGCAGACCGAATGATGCTTTTGTTGTAGGAGACGCCCAGGATTTCGTAAGACTCTTCATCTAGTTCCCACATGACACTTACAGCATACCTTAAAGATAAAATCAGAATCTATCAGCAGTTCTGGTTGCCTTACACTAGCATTGCAAGCCCAAACTATTACAAATATTCTATGATTCTATGATTTCTTTCTGTAATATTTTCCTTTTTTTTTTTCTTCATGAAGCAAATAGTGCTCAGCAATGCCACTGACTGAAGCACTTGCCTTTCAGTACCACATACTGAATAAATCTGAATAATAACATCAGCAGTAGTATCAATCTTCTTGCCCTAAATATAAAGCCACATCTGTTTTAAAGCACAGTTTCACTGTTCTGGTTGTATTTTTATTCATTTTTACTTTATTATCTCAGCCAGATGTGCCCACTATTAATGTATGTGTATTCTGTATATCCTCATATATGCCAGACAAACAACCCTTTAACTTGCAAAATAGGATAGCAGCGTGTTTGAAGAATAGGGCAACAGTAGAAAATAYGAGCTTTCACGTGGCTACTTTTTCACTTTGGGATTTAGAAACAATGCAAAAAACCCACACTCTTCCTAGAGACATTGGTAGAGACATTTTTACATGTAAAAATCTTTCTTTTTTCTTTTGTTGAAAAATACAAACGTTACCTATCAACTCCACTAAGAAGAGAGCAGACGTCGGCACTCAGCACGGAGGGCAGCATGTCATATCGTCGGTCTGCTAAGTAGTAAGTCGTGGCCCTGAGGAACAAAGCACATGCACTGGTGTCCAAGCAGCATTCATAGGTGCAGACCCCTTGGGTAGCTCACGGTGTGAACACAGCTTCACAAACCATGACACGTGGCATGACTTTGGAAGATTATTCTTAAACAATACACACTTGCAGCATAAAAGTCAAATTACTTAATAATTTGTATAGAATAGGCTAATTCTGTGTCCTTCTATCTACAGCTTCCATGAAGAGCAGCGCTAGGGGTGTACATGTTCAACTAAGAATGGGTTACYTAGTGGCTCTACCAAACTATCAAACATCTCTGACATATTAAAACACAAAATAGAGCCTGTGCTCTGGACTACACCTGAAATTAATATAAGATTATTTCTGTTTTGAAGGTGTTCTGTGTTCTGGAAAAAGACTCATTCACTTTGAAAGCCCATAAGCAA